GAAAATAGTCCTAGTAGGAGGTCAGGGTTTCATAAGCCAAGAGAGTGTAGGTTGAGCACTTTATTAGCATTACTCATGCTCTAAGAATAAATTTTAAAAACACAATGGCATTCATATAGATGTTGTATTATCATTTTCTTCTCTATTTTAAAAATTTTTAATATTTATTTATTTTTTAGAAAGAGACAGAGTACAAGCAGGTGAGTGGCAGAGAGAGGGAGGCACAGAATCCGAAGTAGGCTCCAGGCTCTGAGCTGTCAGCACAGAGCCCATCACAGGACTGGAACCCATCAACCGCGATTGTGACATAAGCGGAAGTTGTGCGTTTAACCGATTGAGCCATCCAGGCGCCCTTATCATTTTCTATTTTAGTAGTAAAATGAAAATTTTTCATTTTTGTTTAATTAAGTATATGTGTGTCAATTTCTATAGTAATAGCATACATTCTTGTATTTGGGCCTCCTTGTTATAATTCTACTTGGCCTTTCACATCAAGTCTCTAAGAGCAATTATCAAAAATGTTCCCTGTTTATGCTTACTATTTTTGAGCCTTTTATTCTTTTGGGGGAATTTGATGACATAAAAATAATCCCCGCCTTTGAAGTATATACAAACTGGGAGACTTTCAGAAGAGTAGAATTAAGATAAATGAAGAGATCAATATAATCTAAATTTATCACCCAAAGACTTTTTGATGAGGCAGGAATTATTTGGGTTCTTCAGGGATGTATTAGATTTGGATCAGAAGTGGAGAGATGAGATACTTGCTAGGAGGAAATGGCATGGCTAGAATATAGAATGTGCACAAATGATACACATTTAGAAAATTGTGTGGGTAGGTTGTTGTGGTTGAAGTTTGGGATTAGAAAATTACATATGACGTGACATTTTAGTTCTCCTCATCTCTTGCACCATTTGTGTTTCCAAGGCCAGGCCTAGATTATTTTCAACTGGTAACTTGACTATATGTCATTAAGACAACAGATCTTCATTTCATGGAAGTGCAGAGTGCCCTGTACATTGACAGTGACAGAGTTGATGAAGCTTTATGGCTTTGAATCCCTGCTTCACACCAATTGCAAAGCTTCTTTGCTATAAATAATCATCCTCCACTAGCTCCGCGCTTTCCTAGGAGACCCTAGGCATTTTATACACCGAGAGAAAGAGCACCTCCTTTCTCTGAAGCTGGCCCTCTTTTTGACTGCAACTTACATTCTGGTTATTTATTGCCCCTGATGTTATTACTCTGCATTTTTTGAATTTTCTCTCAAATCCAATGCCCTTTATAATTTATCTTGTTTATCAGTATAATTATCTTTCCTCCCTTATTATCTTTGCTGGCAAAATTACTTCCCCCAGACACTCCTGTGTATCTGCCTGAATTGTTGTTTTTCTCCTATTATCCCTTCTCCAGAAACCAAGTCCCCTGTGTGGGCATCCAAACCCTCCACAACTTAGTCCTATCACCCTCTTGTCTCCTTGTTTCTTGCGCATGAGCCAAATGGTACTTCTTCCATGAACAAACATTATCTCTATGCCTTATACTGTGTTCCCTTTTTGATAGAAGAGACCTTTTCCTTTGCCGCAAATACAACCATTTCAAAATGCTAGCACTGTTATTCTGGGTTCCTGGCTCATTTGGTGGAGCATGCAACTCCTGACCTCGAGGTTGTAAGTTCCAGCCCCACGGTGGGCATGGAGATGACTCAAAATGCTAGCTTTCTTCAGTGCCCATCTCAAAGGCCGCTTCCTCCCTTGGGCTTTTGCTTAAATAACCTTGTCGTCTTTTACCTAACAATACAGTAGTTTATCTACTTGTCATTGTCCTTTTATATAATCACATATTTCTTTAAGGCAGAGATGATGTCTTAGTCACTTTAATCATTATTTATAGTCTACAATATTCTTTCTGACATCTGACAGGCTTTTTTGGGGTTTTGAGACTTTGAGGTCAGTGTTATTTTTAGAACATTCCTCATTTATATTTTAACTCTTCTGATTTATCTTTTAACACTGAGGCTAAGGTCTTGTGACTCATCTCAACATATTGTTTGCTGTGTCTACATTTCATGACATTGCCAATTAGTGGCTTTTTAAAGTAATGCAATGTTTTGGCTATTTTAATACATTTTAACTGATGTGTATATCCTATCGGTTTATATTTTTCTTTTTTGAAACTAGGCCACTCATACCTGTGACCCGAATCCAATCCTGACGCTCATGCTTTTTGTCTCCATTTATGAAACTGTCCTTATATGCCTTCCCAAGAAGGGGAGACCTGTTTATTTTATCTTCCTGCTACCATGCTGATACAGGTGTAGTTACTTCTAGGCCCCAAGAACACATTTTTTTTCAGATTTTAGATTTATATTTTTTTAATAAGCCCTGATTCACTGTAAGTACCTATATGTGCTCTCCCTAGGTAAAAGGTTTGGAAGTATGAAAACATTTTTTTCTTTGTTATTTTAGAAAGCTTTACTAAGGTATAATTAATATACAAAGAGCTGTACATAGATAGTGTTTATAATTTGATGAGTTTTGACATATGCAAACACCTGTGATACCATCACTACATTCAAGGTAATGCACAAATCCAACATCCGGCAGGTATAAAGTTTCGTTTATGCTAGATGAATAAGTTCTAAAGATCTGCTGTACAACGTGTTCCCTAAAAATAATATGGTGCTGTGCTTGCAATGTCTGTTAAGAGGGTAGAATCTCATGTTAAATGTTCTTACTACAATAAAAGAAAAGACACAATAAAAGAAAATGTTCACTTAATTAGAATTACCACTTGCAATGAAGTAACTGTCCTTGCATTTTCATCCATGAAATGGACGGGTTTGGGGAAACGGAGGATCAAAGTTCAGCAGTTTTAAAAGTTCCATCCTTCAGGACCACTCAAGATCCATTTCATGCACTAGACGACTGGCACTGTAAGTGGCAATATGTGATCTGAACTTTCCTTTGGGGAGCAGCTTATATATCCAATTAGATAGATTCAGTGGAGGATATAAAAGGGAAATAATAAAGGAAGTGCTCTTAAACTGGGTTAATTAATCACTAAAGATTTTTTTAATGTTGTATTTTATTTTTGAGAGAGAGAGCATGCATGCAAGCAGGGGAGGGACAGCGAGAGAGGGAGACAGAGGATCCAAAGTGGACTCTGCACTGAAAGCAGAGAGCCCAATGCAAGGTTCAAACGCTTACCATGACATCATGATCTGAGCCAAAGTAGGAGGCTTTATCCTATGAGCCATCCAGGTGCCCCATCACTAAAGATTTTTATATGTGCTGGAACTGCTGTATAGAAATATACTTTTCAATTCTCAGGAGAAATTGAAAGTACAATTTGTGAGTGCATTTCTATATAAATATACTCATGATTGTAGCTGTCTTCTTTGGTGGGAAAATCTCTTATCTCTAGGTGCATTCAGAGAGGAGGTCTAAAAAAAAAGAAAAGAAGAAAAGAAAAGAGAGGAGGTCTAATGTCCTCTCTGGCCCATATTAGACATGGGAAATTCAGTAGAATCACAAGCTCTTTGAGCCTGAGGATCTTCGCTTGTGAATTTGGTTTGTTAAGTCATGTCTTCTAGGACTCTTGGAACGTGTAGGGAGTATACAAAACCCATGGCACAGTGCCTGGCAGATCTTAGGACTTCTGCGAATGAGAGTTATTGCTATCATCACGTTGATGCCAAACCCTACCACCCCCAACTGTGTGCGCACGTGCACATAATGTGTTTTCTCAATCTAGGTCTCCTCAGAAAACACAAAGTGCTACAGGACATGGGTATACACGATCAGACAAAAATGTTCCTCAGCAAGGAAACTTTGTAAAACTTTACCCTCAAATGTTGTTATGTAATTGGGGTGTAGGAATACCTTCCCCAGCTGGATGTCATTGAGATTTCCTACAATTTGTGTCAAGGACCAACTCCTCCACTTGTTCCCTGCTACACCTTGTAGGGATTCAGGATATGTTGTCCCCAAAGATGCCACTTTGGCATATTGGTGACTTTGAATTACGAGTACTTGAGAAATACTAACCCTCCTCTGTCCCCCTTGAAGCAGGACACAAATTCCCCACGTGAAAGGTGCCCTTGTTGTACCAAGGGGGGTATAGGGCATGCTTACGACCAGAGACAGGGAATTTGGGGCCAAGAAATTTAGAGCAGAAATTTGTGCTAACCTGCACCTCCCAGGTCACCCTCCCCCCACGCCCACTGTCTCATTCATTTCACCCCCTCCAAAATGTCATCCTTGTTGATTGGTTGATAACTCCCACTGAGGACCGCTAAGTCAAGGTTGTTTATGGAGGAAGTGGGCACTGGCTCCCCTCAGTGGCAGCACAGTGCCAGCCCGGTGGTTTCTGGGTATCTAATGCCAGTGGAGGGTCATCTGTATTTTCCAGGATCTCCTTACACGTGATGGATATAAAACTCCTGGTTTGTGCACGGTGATGCACTGCGCCAGGACGAGAACACAGAAACCCTTCCATTCCTGTTCCAGATGGCAATTTCCTCTCCGGCTTACTTGTGATCCCCAAAGTAGCTACCGGCAGTTTGCCCCTCTCGATTTCGGGTTTGAGCTCTGAGACACATCATCTGAGATGTCTCCGGTGTGTGTTCAGTTCACGGTACTCCCAGTCTCATCTGGCCCACCACCTGGCTTAATGTAAAATTAATTCCTGCTGAAACACCTGAAGTTTCCCAAAGCCCCAAACTGCCATGCCTAACTGCATTAACACGTGGACGACTGTCGTATGGACCCTCGACTACGCACACCTCTACTCACACCTCCATTTTACTTGTCCGTAGGTAGTAGAAGATGCCACCATTGTCCTTAAAGGACTATCGCTCGCGTATGTGAACGTTCCGTGGGCAGGTACTGGGTCGCTATGCCAGCTTTCCCAGGAGCAGTGCAGTGCTTTCCAAGGAGGAGGTGTTCACAAGAAGTTTGGAGAATAAAGGAACCAGTGAACAGGACTTCTAATTTATTAAGGTTTATTTAAACAGCTTAGGATAGCCATGCGTGCGTCCCTTAAGTTTACAGAACAGGAACTGAAAAGGATAGGACTCTCAAGATCGGAGTATCTTTTAGAGGTTCTTCTCTATTTTTCTATTGAACTGAATTATCTTAGAGCAGAATTCTTTCACATTTCCATGGAAATGCCTAGGGCAATGCCATGTTCTTATTCCAGATGACAAAATGAGATAGATGGTTCAGAATTTCTCTTACAAAACAAAACTGAAACTACTAAAAGTCCTTATAGCACTAAATATATGACCGGTATCATTTATAAACGTGGAGAGTTTGAAGCTAATTAAAAGTGCATCCAAGAGACAATATTTGAATACTATACAGATGCAAAAATCAGAAAGTTTTCCAAGAAAAACGTTTTTCAGTTTCTCCCTATAACATAAGAACACATAGGTATAGATACCGTCTTCCTTGCAGCCCCACCTCAAACCTACATTCTATGAACACTAACTGACCTTTTCCAACACAAAGCGAAGAGCCTGCCTCGGGCTTCTCTAGGGGTTAGAGGGAGGACTGGGCCTGGCACGAGAACGTGCCTCGAGCATACAAGTAAAGAAATCCTGGGCCAAATTCCTGGCTCGGGCTCTCACTTCTTCATCTCGCAAAGCGTCCTCATACTGAGATGGGTACGTTGTCGGGTCAGTCCCTTCGATCTTCGTCAGAAACTCTAGGACTTTCATCTTGGTGGTTTCAGCGTGGGCTCTTGAGCCCCAGCGGAACTCATATTGTGGGGGATCACTGTTGGCCACCTGGCGGCACTTCAGGTACTTTTCCTTCACAAAATGGTAGGTGATGAGCTTCCTGGGCTCCCCAAGGAGGCTGTGCTCCTTCCCAACATATAACCCCATGACATTCATAGCTCTCCAGAGTTCCTCCTCGGTGGCAACGTTGCCATTCATGAAGATGACACCCAGGACAAGTATCAGGAGGCCCGTCTTGGGTATGCCCTCCTTACCATGCATCAGCCCGTCATAGGTGAGGCCCAATTTGAGGTTGAAGCCGTAGCACTGGTTGACGGGATCCACTTCCTTCACCTCGATGCCGAAGGCAACCGCCATACGATCAGAGGCTTTCTGGAAGATCTCAGGGAATTGCACGTCAAACTCTTTGTTGAGGTTCTTCATATATTCCTTTGTGATGAGCCCTTTCTGTAGATAGTTCAACAGCATGTGATCCTGCAGCACATCCACTGCCTTATTTAGAGCATCTGTGGGCACGTTCTCGGTGCCTGGCCCAAGCCACGAGGTGATCCTGTCCTTTTCTTCGCTAAAGGAGCCCTCTTTCACTTCACTGGTTGAGCTGGTTGCGATGGCAATGGAAGATGGACCGCAGCTCTGAGGACTCTCCGCGTTACCAGCATCAGGGGCCTCCTTTGAAGTGCCAGGCATTTGCGGATGGGAGGAGAGACAGGGCTCCTCCAGAGCCTTGGAGTCATGCGCCCCCTCAGGGCCCTGGGTCACACTGCACTCCGCCGGAAGGCACTGATCAGGTGAGTGTTGTGGAATCTTCTGGGGCAGAGACATGATGTCTCTTGTGGATGGCAGTAGGCAGGAGTGTGGGCCAAAAGGTGGGCAATGTGGAATCAACGCCTAAGAGGAAGGAGGAGACGTGAGTGGCCTCAGCTGCTAAACTCAACTGGGGCAGCACTGACCAAAGCTGTCTCCACTGGACTTCGGACAACACTGCCAGAGGGCACAGGGCCTCAGAGGTTTCCTGACTCCTGGTTGCTGTGTCCCAGAAGGGCCTGAAGGAGCAAGTCTTTATGCCCCTGAGGATGCACTAGCAAACCCAGGCCGAGAATCCTCAGGGATCACACTAGGCAGGTGTGGTTGGCTCCACAGAGCCATTTCTGTTCTGAGGGGGCTCCCATCAGTCCTCACTCAAGTTCACTACCTTGGCAACCAATAGGGCCCGGCTCACCTCCCCATGCTAATAGGAGGAGGTGCCCCTAAGACCAAAGTCACATCTCCTAAGACAACTCATGAGGAACCTTGGAGCTACCTCCTCCGGAAAGCCTACCTGGGGTTTCCCAGGGCTGACAGCAGGAGCTCGATTCTGTGGATGCTATGTGTACTGGTGTCCGTGGTCCCCCCAGTTCTCACTCAGCTGCCTTACTCTGAATCCAGGCAAATCCTGGGATCTCTCCCTTTCCTGAACTAGCACTGGCCCCGACACCAAAGGCTTTGCCTCATGTTGGGGAAGAGGTCATGAGTGGTCACGACTACCACAGAACCCTGCCCATAGCCTCTCAGCACTGAACAGGGCAAGGCTAGACATGTGTTCTCCATTCTACCGTGGTCAGCAGTTCTTCAGGATGCACTCAAAGGACACTTGCCTTGGTGACTGGTGGGGCCTCAGGCGGGACCAGTCTGCCAAGGGACGTTAATCACCCGTATCACAAGAGGACTTTATTTTGCTGAGCCACCCCAACAGGAGCTTAGGGACGATGCTGTGTGTCCACCTTTCTTGGGTTGGTACCAGAGCGATACGGGGAGCTAGGCATTCTAGAGGTCCATCTGTTCGCGGGTGCGTAAGCCCTTTGGACCTCATTGAGGGCTCTGGCTGTGACTATTGGCAAGCCCTGGAATCCTTCCTTTGCTGACCTCGTGTAACGTGGGCACGTAGGCCAAGGACCTCACAGACTGAAATGCCCAGGAAGGAAGAGAATACACAATTCACTATGGGATACTTGCCCAGTACCCTGATGTGATAAAGGTACGGGGGCTCTTTGGGGATGCTATGTTCTGGGCTAGACTGCTCTTGCTCTCTACTGTTTCTAGTCAAATTCCAGCATTGCCTGGTCACTCTATCCACTGCTAATGGGAACCTGCCCCCTGCAGACCAAGACTGCCACCTCCCTAGGACCACAGTGTATAGGATATACTGCTAAGATCTCTGAGAGGGGCGCCTGGGTGGCTTGGCCAGTTAAGCGTCCAACTCTTGATTTTGGCTCAGGTCACGATCTCACGGTTTGTGGGTTCAAGCCCCACATCAGGTTCCATGCTGGCAGTGCGGAGCCTGCTTGAGATTCTCTCTCTCTCTCTCTCTCTCTCTCTCTCTCTGCCCCTCCCATGCTCTCTTTCTCTCAAAATACACCCAAGAAACGTAAAGGTAAACAAACAAACAAAGAATTCTGGCCATTCTGTCTGGGCCTTTTCAGGAAACAATTACGGGGGTAGGGTAGATATCATGGGGTCCCGTCTCCACTCAGGTAGATGGTCAAGTGTTTGCTCAAGGACGATCTATACCTTGAATCTTGACAGTGTACGAGACTCTTGCCCTGGGAGGAATTTACGGGATATCATATCCAATTGTGCAGGTGTGACAGAGGGACACAGTTGTTTAGATATCTGTCTGTTCTGAAGTGGGAGTCTCCGTCAGTCTCACTTAGGGTGCTTCCTTTGCCTACTGGTAGGGCCCGGGATCTGATACCACTTCCCCAGATGTACGTTCATCACCCTCAGTTCACTGCCCAGGAAACGAGGGAATGTCTCAGCATGAGAGCTCTGCCCAGAACTTCCCAGGGCTGACACTAGAGCTAAGTATGGTTACGACAGGTGCCAGTCTTCTGGGATGGGTGGTTCTCAGCCCTCACTCAAGGTCTCTACTTTGCCTCATGGTTGGGCCCCAGTCACAACGGGTCTGATTCCTAATGCCACTCCTGCCCCCCAAAGGCCTGCTCCCCCTTAGACAAGTGAGAAGGGATGAAAACTCTCATCTAGTCACCATAGCCAGGCTTAGCAGGATTCACAGTAGGGGCTAGACACTCTGGGACCAGTATGTTCTGCGGTGGGCAGGCCCCTCAAACCTCTTCCAGGAAACTCACTTTGACCCATTCACAATCAAAGGACTCCCATTCCAGGGAACACCACGGAGGAGTGTCTGGGTGTCTTGTCTGCCTATCACCGCTCAGAATCTCCCAAGGGTTCCCCGTGATCAGTGCAACGACACTCCTCTGTGGCCACTTTGCCCTTCAAATACAGCTCCAGGACATCTGCCAGGGCCTGGAACCGCTGCTGACTTAACAAATCCTTGAACTTCCTGAGCCCCAGGGGAGGAACAGAAAAGCCGCCTCTGCCCACCATCCCTTCCCTGAGTCTCTCAGGGCTGCCAACAGGGAAGGGCTCCGGGGAGCTCCTCCGCCATCAGGTGGTCCGTCCCACCATCCTCACGTGCGCGAGGCAAACTGAATACTGCTCAGTGTCGTGCCCGCTGCCATCTATCACCTGTGGCTCCACGTTCCAGTCAAGGCCCACAGGTGTGAGACACCCAAACAGGAAGTGAGGAGCCAGCCCATCCACCGGCTTCGAGAGCTGACCACACGGGCTTGACGCTGTGCCACAACCGCTACCCGGGAGGAGTAGAAGCCTGAGAACTCACGCGGGGTCCCCGCCGGGACTCCTGCCTTTGCCAGGTAACACCAACGACCTCGGACTCAGCGCTCACCTCCCTCAGACCCTGGAGGCTGAAGTCAGCCACACTTCCGACCGGCCCTGCCCGAAGCCTCCCGGGGCTGACAGACTGGCTGAGGCTCGGCGAGCCCACCCCTGTCTGGGGCGAGTGGTCCCCTCAGCACTCACTCGGGACCCTCTTCTGGACTAGCAGCAGGTCAGGGGCCTCTTCGCCCTGGCACAGAAAGCCTTTCAAAACCTCAAACACATCCAAAATGGAAGCGCACGGTACGTCAGCCTGACAGAATGGTCGGGCGCCTCCCTGGGTTGCACTGGGGCTCACATCTAAAGGGTCCCCTCATTTCTGTGGCAGGAGGTCCCCCCAGTCCTCATTTGGAACCTTACTTGATGCCGACGAGCGCCCGGGACTCTTCCCGCGGCCGAGGGGTCCCACTCGCCAAGATGGAAGCCCGCACAGCCCCACGATGTGGAGGAGGAAATCCTGGGGTGGGACATCCGGTTACGCTTGCTTGTGGGGCTCGTGACGCGCGGAGGGGGGGAGTGTGCGTGGAGGACGGCGGGGGGCGGCGTAGGGAAGCGTGGGTGGCGTGGGGGGGAGGGGCCAACAGCAGGGGCAGGGCTCTGCACACCGGGCTGTTTCACACTGAGGGTTGCTGCTGGTCCCTCTCCGGTGTCTCTCTGTTGTCTTCTGCCAGCCCTGGGATCGGTCTCTATCTTGAATCCGGATCATGCCTCTCATGCCAATGTCCTCATGTTTTTAGAGCCTTAATCGGGTCGTGAGGAAATCACATGTATGGAGGACATAGAGCTGCAAATTGGCACTGGCTCATATGTTTGACCTTCCTTTATTCTTGTTGTGTTGCTCTCCCCACTGTAAAACTTTTCAGAAATAGTTTTTATTTTAATAAATTGTAATACACCACATTGTGGAAATTAAATGCGTACTCTGCGCTACTTTAGTATATTTACATTTTGGATTATGATTTCTCTTGCAGTGTTACTATTTAAATTGCATAATAATAATTTTACTTTGGTATCTCCATTATACTCTGCATTAGATTTGTGTCTTATTTATACCTGGTTGTAACTTTATACCCTTATTCAATATCAGTCTTCATACCCCCTCCCCCGTCCCTTGGTGAGCATCTTTTTATTCTGTTTTTACTTGTTTGACTTTTTTAGATTCTATGTATAAGTGGTGTCATATATTTTTTGTCTTTCTGACTTATCACACTCAGTATAATCTGCTCAGGGTCCGTCCTTATTTTTGCAAATGGTAAGATATGTTCCTTTTTTATGGCTGAATAAGATTCCATCATATATATTTTATCCCTTCATGTCTTAATGTCCATTTGTGTTGTTTCCACATTCTTCTGTTCATTCTTGGAGTTCTACTCTTGGACTCTTTCTCTTTCTTTTAATGGTTCATGGTAAATTTCTTATTCTAGCAAGCTGTTTTTGGGTTTTCTTATTGCAACTCTTGCAGAGCTTGGATTGGGTCAGGTCTCAGGCTTAATATAAAATGGGAAAAATGGAGTACAATACAGGCAGGGAACAGGACAGGTGCTGGTTTGTCTCAAAAATATCACACTATCTATTCTTTTTCTTCACCAGTCAGATTCAGGTTTTTACATAAATTCTGTTCCTAACAATTTCTGTTCAGAAAAGACTGAGATGAATGATTTAGAAAGCTACAGATTTTTTGAGGTCATATGAAGTTTCATATGCAAGTGATCATATTTTCACTGAATATTATCTCTCTTTGCATTTTTTTTATGTCTTGTTTCTTTTGCTATGCTTATTGTTTTAAGGTTGGCTTTGGACCAATTTCAGTTTATATTTAATGATAAAATACTCAGTTTCTAATAACTACTTTGTAATTTACATTTTGCTAAAAAATAGCATTTTCAGCTGAGTATTTGATTTTTTTTTTTTAATTTTATTTCTAGGAGAGAGAGGGAGAGACAGCGTGAGCAGGGGAGGGTCAGAGAGAGTGGGAGTCACAGACTGAAACAGGCTCCAGGCTCTGAGCTGGCAGTCAGCACAGAGCCCGACGCGGGGCTCGAACCAACGAACCGCGAGATCATGACCTGAGCGAAAGTCGGACGCTTAACCGACTAAGCCACCCAGGCGCCCCTAGTATTTGATTTTTAAGGTACATTTAAGACATTTACAATAAGTCATTTTTCACAGATTCTCAAGCATATAGTATAGTGCACAAAACAGGATAATGTACCCTGTTCATATGACTCTCAGAATAATAATCACCAATAAATTTAAATAGAAGGTTGACTGGATCAGTGTTTTGTGAGGTTTTTGTGTGTGTGTGTGTGGGGGTTTTTTTTTGTTTGTTTTGTTTAATCAAATGTTTGTTCTTAGGGAAGACCACACTACAATTGATGCTTTAGACTTCCATTAGTGTACTTAATGTGTGTATCTTACTTTTTGGTAATCCTGGGACTCTGCTAATAATGAATGTAATCCATTCCCTATTATGGACTGTAAAATTATAATTCTCTCATTCTCCCATTTTAAAAAAGTAATTACTTCAAATTCTCCTTCAGGTAGAAATATTTCCTTGACTGCCCTTTGTTCATCTAGAGATATTCTTGTAGCATATTTCTAGTGTTCACTTATAATATTTAAATCACCTCTGTACCTATATTTTACAGAATACTGTTTAACAATTCCACTTTGTCTTTCTTTTGTAATTGATAATACTTATAAAATCATCTGTCATAAAGGTCTTTTTTAAGAATTGCATTTTTCAGGACGCCTGAGTCGCTTGGTCAATTAAGCATCTAACTATTGATTTCTGCTCAGGCCACGATCTCACAGTTTGTCAGTTTGAGCACCACGTTTGGCTCTGTGCTGACAGCACAGAGCCTGGTTGAGATTCTCTGTCTCCCTCTCTCTCTCTCCCTCCCTTACTCACTCTCACTCTCTCTCAAAAGAAATAAATAAGCATTAAAAAAAGAAGAATTGTCATTTTTCAGTTGTGTGTATTGTCTTCTAACTCATTGGTTTTATATTTAATCTCCACCATTTTTTACCTCTTCTTTGAACCTGAAGTTCAGTTCTTTCTCTAGCATTTTGAAATATTTAGATATTGAATATGTGTCCTTGTAAAAAATATGTTTAAGGGTACAAATATCCCTGAATACCACCTGATCTGCTTCAGGCAATTGGACTTGTGGAACATATAACTTACAACTTAAACATTTTTACATCGTGGAGTGCCTGGGTGCCTCATTCAGTGAAGTGTCTGACTCTTGATTTTGGCCCAGGTCATCATGTCACAGTTGAGCCCCGGAGCAGGCTCTGTGTTGGACATGGAGCCTGCTTGAGATTCTCTCTCCGCCTCTCCCCCTGGAGAACCTGCCCCAGATTCTTTACCTATATCAAATCTCTGGTCATGAGCTTCATGGGCTCCCTCCAAATTAACTGCTTTGTCCCAGTATATATCCCAACAATGTTCAAGAATTCTAAGTTCTCAAGGCACCTGAGTGGCTCAGTCAGTTAACCATCTGACTTTGGCTCAGGTCATGATTTCACAGTCCCCCATGTTGGGCTCTCTGTTGTCAGCATGAAGGCCACTTCAGATCCTCTGTCTCCTTTTCTCCCTGACCTTCCCCTGCTTGCACATGTGCCTTCTCTCTCAACAATAAGTAAAACATTAAACAAAATAATTACAAGATCTCTTCTTTAGTGGCATAATTGCCAATCATGAAGGTGACACCCAGGAGAGGGATCAGCAGCCCAATCTCATGCAACTTCTGCCAATGCTCAAATTCCCTTTGCTGGTGATAGCCAACTTGCTGTCAAGGGCACAAGAATGACTTGTGGGGCTGACTTCTTTCACATTAATGTGAAAGATCAGCTCCATGTATTTAGAAGTCCTCGTGAAGTCTTCAGGCTACTGGTGCTTGTACTTTGTGTTGACAATTTTTAGCATGTATGCTTTTGTAAAGGGTCTTTCATCTTTAACTTCTACAGCTGGAAGCACACCATCAACTACACTCTTCTTTCTTGTTAGAAGGCTTCAGTGTGAGTTCTTAATTGAGACTGTGACCTCAGAGGTGCTTGGTCTTTCTTCCTCTTGTCTCTTGGCACCTTCATCTGATCTCATACATGAAACACTTGCAAGAGCAGTGCTAATAGACGTGGCTTTCTGAGGTTCCTGGGGAATACCAGCAGCAGGAAAGCTCTGGGGAGTATCCCCCAAATTGAAAGTGGGGAGGTTTCACCTTGAGTCGTGTGTTTCTCATAAACACACTGTTTACCCCTGAGACTTCAAGGCATGGTTATACTGGTCAAAGGCATCAGGTAGAGGTATGGAGAGGTGAATAGGCAATGCCAGCCCACAGGAGGAGTGAGGATGAGAGGATGTGCTCATCTTCAGGAGGGGAAATACATCCCTGGCTGTAATATGGACCTCCTCTGAAGGTTTCTTTGAAGTTGCTTTTCTAGGAATCCACAGGGATGTCTTCTGTTCTGGTCATCCTGTCCCCTGAGAACTCTGATGTAGTGGATTGAACTATTTGTGTGTCCCCAAAAGATGTTCAAGCCCTATCCTCCAGTACCTATATATGTTAACTATATCTGGAAATAGTATCCTTGCAAATGTAATCAAATTAAGTTGAGGTCATACTGCAATAGAATGGGCCATAAATATATGGATTGATATCTTTATAAGAGAAAAAAGAGTGAAATTTAGATACATGTAAGAGAGACAGAAAAGCCACAAAGGGAAGAAGGCCATGTGATGGCAGAGGTGGAGACCGGAGAGATGCACTTACAAGCCAGGAATGCCAAGAAATGCTAACAAGCCACCAGCAGTGAGGAGAGAAGCATGGAACATTTTATCTCTCAGCGCCTGTAGATAGAACTAACACTTCCAACAACTTGATTTCAAATCTCTAGCCCAAAGAACTATGATGGAATAAATTGCTGGTCATTTTAGCCACCAAACTGTGGTAATTTGTTATGGTAGTCCTGGAAGCTAATACACCAAGGAAGGACGTTACCTTAGGTGAGGTGTATTAGGTTGCACCTGATGTGTGCTAGGGTGGCAGCAGGGGTTGGAAGTGGGGGCCCCTCTGTTCTGGAGTAGGTTGTCCTCTTAATTCACATTCAGGATTATCATATCAACTACTAGCTAGGCTCCGGTCCCCTCTCATCTGCTGCTCCAAATTTCACTACTTATTTATGTATTTTTAATGTTTATTTATTTTTGAGAGAAAGGGAGAGACAGAGCACAAGCAGGGGATGGGCAGAGAAAGAGGGGGACCCAGAATCTGAAGCAGGCTCCAAGCTCTGAGCTGTCAGCACAGAGGCCGACATGGGGCTCAAACTCACCAACGATGAGATCATGACCTGAGGCAAAGTAGGATGTTTAACTTACTGAGCCATCCAGGTGTTCCCCAAATTTGACACTTAAAAAACAAGGTACTT